ACTATGGAAAGGGGAGGGTATCTGCCAGCAATCCTCAGATGTGCACAAACCTTTTTTTTAACTAAAATCCACTTATCATTAGCTAAATGGAACCCTACAAATGTCAGCAATGTTGATAATTATTTCTGCTGAATCTACCTTTCTTAGGCGTCTCTCGATCCGACCCTCCAAGTCGACTAATCTTCTCGTCCTGGGAACACCGAAAAGCAAGATCATCGTATCCTTATTGAGCATTTTAAGTAAAAAACAACCGAAATTTACTGCACAATGATCAAACTGCACGCTACATAGAAAGGTAACAGCGTCTCTGTGGCGAACACACCAGATGCAAACGAGGTACATCAATGGGGGCCACAAAAATCGATAAGGGAATCGACAAGATGATCGATACTGAAGTAGCCTCGCCTCCAGTACCGGTATAAAAGTACGGAGCGGTCTCCACCGCTAGCAGCATAAGAGGTAAGATGTACTGGGAAAAGGCTATGTTTAGGCAGAACTGTACAGTTTGACACAACCTCCGTAGAATTGAATGGGGACGTCCAAATGAAGAGTTAAATGAAAAGGACCACCACGAGTAATCCGATTAATTCTAAACGATGAAAGGTGAATATACCGATGAAGATGATGTCCTAGAGTTTCTTGAAGCCTTGTGCAAGCTTGGCAGCCCACCGCTAGGTCACTGTATGTGTGTGTGTGTGTGGAATACCTCATTTCCTCAAACCACTAAGTCTGAGCAGTCCGGCCTCATGTTCACTTTCTGGACTGTGTCCTTGGGAAAAATCCCATGCGATGATAAACCCACCTCATTCAAAAAATTCCTGGGAAAAGCCTTATGTCACGAGAGACCAGGGCTAGACTACTGAAAAATCACTAAGACCTAGGAGTATTTCTCAGAGCCGCGCAGAGCGTGCAAACGAAGACGGGGAAGAGTAGTTGACTTGCCTGTGGTCCGCGTTCAATCACCAGAAAGTAAATTGGCACCCTTTTTACCCCCTGATGCTCAAGATCATCACACTTGCCTGATTTTTCCATAGGTCAATATTTTTAAGCAAGTGAAACTCAGGAATCTGAATAACCTAGGTCTCCGACACGAAAACGTTTAACAAAGTCCTCAAGATTGGTCTCCCCCTTTCCGAAAATCGGCGAAACTTAGTCATACGAAAGACGCTTTACTTCGTTAAAATGAACAGAGGCATGTACAGGATATGCGAATTTAGCGATAAGTCTGGGTCAGTAGGTGGATTTGAGTTTAAATGGACTGAACTCTGTTGGTCCTGATATCACTCAGAGCCTCCGTCCAGGCAAGATCGTCAAGACGGGAAATGGGTACGGGTCGCCTTGTCCGCGAATCACCCGACAATCGTCGATGGGGTGCCACGAGTCGATTCGTTATCCGAGATATCTCCCTCTGGACTACACTCACGGAAAAAAAGCACTTTTTTTCCAATGTCCAGCTTATTTCAAGGGTGAAATTTTCCATTGACCTAAGCATAACGACTGATCCTTTGGTAGTTGTAAAGATGAACCTTCCCAATATTTTAAGCACACATCCTAATATGTGGTCATCTTTCGTATATTCTTTGGGATAAATTTAGGGTATTCATGGAGGAATGGATGAAAAAATTACTCTTATGTTTAGATATCTGTCCCGTTTTAGAATCAACGCCGTAGCGTAAATAGCTTCAAGCGTCAACGAAGGTTGACTACTGAATAGGCAGACTAGTAAGTACACATTACATGGGTAAACCATTTGAGAAGTCGAGATTACATAACTTGTGTCAGCAGCATTGCATCAGTAGAGTAAACGATAGTCTCTAAAGCAAGAAAAGTGTTGGAACTTAACCATGTTTTCCTACCAAAAGTTTAAAGCTGCTTACGTACGCGATAGTGATCAAAAAGACCCTTTCATACGACAGTATCAAAGTAAAGTATCGAAGCTGCCTTAACATCAAAACAGAGGCCCCAAGAAGAGAATACTTACCTTCGTCATCCGAAATGCCACTCTTGACAAGCCTCCGAGTCAACTCTCGCGCAACATCCTTGAATGTAGCCTGGAGAAAACGGAGAAGGCGGTGGATCTCACAATTTGTGTAGCCGAACCAACACCAAAGTGCTGCTTTACGAAATGACTGAGCATATGAAATATGACACGGAGTCTTACATTTCTAGCTCGTTTAAACAATAACACCTTTTTAAACAATTTTGACAATGAGATGACACTTGACTTATTCAGTTCACTGCATGCTGCTGGCCACGACAACGATCGGATTCGAATTTCACAGATATTTCTGGTTAAAAAATTACAATTTAAAACGGAAAGGAAAGTCTAGAGTATGGGAGTACAGATGCTGGAAGGTTAAATGAAAGTCAAAATTGGACACGAAAGCACGGGGGAGATAGAAGTGCGAATAGAGGACATAAATTTGGTAACCCAAGAAAAAACACATATCCCAATCACAGGCATAGCTTTGAGTATTTGGGCATCAAAGGGCATTTTGACAGTAAATTCCTTGATAAAAGCATCTTTATGAACAAAAAACCACGGTAAACAGAAGTGAGCAAAAGACCACCCGAATGAATGGCAATGAGCAAGCACTTCGTAGATTCGTTATACTGCATAAACAACGCAATATTCTAACTCATCTACACTTCAAAGAGGGGTCACAGTAGGTTCGTCACCGGAGTCTAAGACACAAACTGACCTTTACAGTCCACGTTTTAGTGTCATAATATGACAACATTTGAGCTATTGAATTAACCGATACAACAATTGCTTAGAAACAAAGAAAAGGTGGAACTATTCTAAGATCAAGGACATCATACGTCACTGTTTTGTTTCACCACATTCAATTATCACAAATTGATTAAGAACAGACGACATATATTCATCAAGTAAGAAAATTTGGGCGTCACATGTCCGACGCTGTGTTGAAGGAAAACTAGACAGACCAAATGAAAGTCAGGACTGAAAATGAGATTAAAGGTACCATAAGAGGTCAGGTGTGAAACAAAACGAAGACCAGCTGAGCGTTTTTTCAAGAATACATGAGTTACATACCTTGTCCTTGAAGGCACCCAGAGAGTAGTAGCGAGAGAGCGAACGGACCACAACATTGGCGATGAAACTGGTCTTCATCCGTGTTTCCTCGGACTTGTAAAAGCGTGGAATAGGGGTCGGTGGGATGTAAAAAGGAGGAAATAAGGTTGTTAGCTGAAAATGCTCACGTATTCCCTGCCTTCTAACCGATGCGATGTTGTCCTACTCTCATGTCGTCGATTGCAAGAGAAAACATGGTTTGAGCTCTCGGCTATGCAAGAGCCCTGGCAGAACAAACGGAAAGAATAAGTAGGGAAGAGCAAAATCCGCCTATACTTTCCGTATTTAGGATGACAGTGTGATTTAGTAAGTAAATACAGCACACAGCACCTAGTCCTAAAATCTTGGCAAAAAGAAAGAAAATGGACAACTTCCTTTCAATTGCAGAATGTTCTGGATAAATTGCTTTATGAAACGTATATTCAAAATTCAAATTTTCTCCTCTCGCGTTTGATCTATTCAGTCAGAGAAAGTTTCTGTGATATCAATAAGACAGGGCTGAGCAACGAGCACAAAGTGAGCTTAAGTATGTTGAAACTGATCTCCATTACCATGACAGAGCGCAAATTTTCACTTCAAGCACTTGAGTTGATCGGGTATGGTACCAACAACTTTGTTTATGCCTTATTGCATCAGAAGGCGTTACTATTTTCGAGCGGTCACACGAGCACCACTACAATAGACCTCGTCAATCAGCGTGTCTACTCTTCAACCTTTGCAACAAAATCGGAGGTTGTAGTGAAATGAAGTACAAATGAAATGAAATGGCATGTGAACGTGAAGTTTTCGATAAATTAGATTGGAAAAAAGCAATTGTGGAAAAAAAACAAACTTCCTACCCTGTAATCGTACGGTGAGAAATCAGTAAAAGCCGGAGGCACCGGCTCAACCACTGGCGTGCCAGTCTTCGTCATAAGTCCAAGAGGTGGAGGCACCTAAAAGCCATTTGGAAATATCTAGTTTGAAACAATGAACTCAGAATCCGGTAAGTAAAGTTGTTTTACGGATTTTAAGAGCCACTTCAAATGCGTGTCTGTGAGACTGTGTTGGCAGGAGTGAAGAAAATTGCGTAAAACGCGCCATAACTGGCTTCCAAATTGAAATGGCACAAAACTTCTTTAGGATGACAAGCCACTCAAAAAATGCATAAATTAAATTTAAAAAGACCACAATTAGATTTGTGAGGCTCCTTGAACTACAATTTATTGAAATTTTTAGAGCATTCGTAGCGGCACTGCCGTTATCTGGAAGCAACACTTTTTTTCCTTATTTTAATCACCAGTGCCACACACGAGTGATACCCTGATTCCATTAGCCGAGCCCTCACGCCGTAAATATGTGAAAAGAAAGATAACTACACGGAAAAAAAAATTGGAGTAAAACCAGCTGGCCTCACACCAGAACAGTAAAGCACCTGGGCTATGATGGACAGTTGTTTCCCAGATGCTGGCAACGAATACGTTGAAATTAAAGTGCTTCAGCTTTTCCGACAGTATTAATTGGTCTAACTGCAGTATGGGCTGGTGTAGGAATGACAACTCACGTTTTGTGATGATGCCGACAGTGGCGGTGGCTGTGATGACTGCGACGGAAGTGGAGCAGGGTCCTGGAGGAGAAAGTAAGTTTTGGAGGGCCCCTCCTTTTTAATCACTTTCACTACCGATACGTCGTCATCCGGATCCTCCATTTGTGGTCTTTTCTGGGCACTCGGAGTAGGTTTTGATTTCTCCCAGAAGTAGGTCATTGTCGATTCCCCGGAAGACTGTGGAGACGATGCGAAGTGGATATCAGTAGGCAAGCTTCAACAAAGTGGTTGAATACCGTCAAAAAGTTACCCTCAAAATAGTAGGCAAATTCTCCTCATTCGGTTTGTCGCTTGAGTCCCCAATAAGGGACTTTTTGAGGGAGGGCGGAAGGCAAGTGGATTCCAGAATGTCCTGAGTGTTGACACCAATGCTCAAAGACTGAGGCTTGGGAAGAAAGGAACCGGGGTGCGGACTAGCCGACTTTGCTTCAATGGGCAGCAGCAACGGTGCAGGCGGCGAAGAGAGGAGTGGTGGGGGCGGTGACGGTCTAACGTCGACCTCTTCAGGTTTTAGCGTCAAGGTTTCGGAGAAACTACTGGGGGTGTTGGAGTTAACGGGATGAAGAGAGGTCACAGGAACATTCAACCATTCCGCAAATGCGTCGTAGACAGCAGATAGAGAGGCGGCTTTACGGGCCTGACTGATCCTACGCGCCATATGTCCGCGGTAGACGCCAGCCACCTACAGTATTCGAAACTGTAACTTCTGCTACTGCCAAACATTAAGTAGGATGCAATTGCGGGATCGCATTAACCTTCGAGGTTTTGAAAATTTGATGCTCTAGTTGGGCGGCTAGTTTGCTGAGATGCGACTTCTCCGGATCCACATCGGAGCCTGTATCACTGGTGCTGGTCAGGTGACCACACACAGCGGTAATGAGGAGTTGGAGAGTCTGATCTCGAGTCTTTCCTGTCAAACCGTTGATCAGTTTGCTCTCAGGATCGATAAGCAGGGAGTCCTCAGCAGCGGAAATCCATGGAACCTGAGGTGAAAGGAGAAAACTAAAAACGAGGCAATAAGAGTTGACTAGAGCAACAAGAGGAATCCATACCACGAGCCAAGGAGTTTAATCGGCAATGTCAAAGGTAAAAATGAATTACGAAAACGACTAGGCATTGGAAGGAATTAAGCGTCGAACGTGATGAAGAACAAAGTTGTATAAGGCTGAGTAACAAATATATTGTAAGCGTTAAGTATGTGACACCCTGAATTGGTGATCTAACAAGTACTCCTTATTGGTTTATTGTAACCGTAGTTATACCAAATCGTGTCGCAAACGGATTGGTTGAGCTTAAAAGATCAAGTAGGCGCAGAATGTTTTCAGTGTAAGGACACCTAAATTTGCTGGCGAGTGACTAGCAGTTGAGTGTCAACAAAAGTCGGCAACTGATATCACACTAGGGCAATCAAATATACGAGGCGTGCCTTCAAATACTGCGAATAGAAAATGTCAGTGGAATAGAATTGTGGAAAAAACGGCCTATGCGTTCTGCTTGTCGGTATTAAAGTCGTCAAGATCCTTGGGCCATACCTACATTGCTATACACCTCAAAATTAGGCAGGCTTGAATCCCACCTAAGCAGCAAGCAGTTGTGAAGTGTCTCATGCTGCATGTACTGTTAAAAATATCATGTGTACTTTAAATGTCGCTGTGCTTGCTCACCCCAAAAAAACTACTATTGAGGCAATGGAATTAGGGGATTAAGGTCTGCCTTGAACAGTGCTCACAGCGGTCTGCGGAAAAAAATTTGGTGACAAGTTGGTTTGATAGCAGGGCTTGGTGTCTCGCGTAGACGAAGGAGTTCCCTGAGAGGCTAATGAGTCCTGAGGACAGCCGAAATAAGTGCGAACGAATACATGATGACCCAGCATAGTGGGGAATGAAATTCGTGTATAAGCACAAGTCAAAACTTGGTAACCCCATTCAGGCCTCATAGTCCCACCAAATTTCCAGGTAGAGAAAGGTCTGAAAATTAAATAACTACGACACGGAAATCCAGAGACGACCAATCGATGTGTTGGATACCAGTTTCTACACAAAGTACTTTGTCAGGAGCCTAGAGAAGCACCTAAGTCGTAAAAAGCCACCGTTGCCAGTGTAATAAACATGTTGTTGAAGTTACCGAAAATGTACCTGTATAAACGATACAACGACATCCCACTTGAAGTGATCTCAACTGATAATCACAAAGAGGCTGACAACGCTGACAATAAGTGACTATAGTCTAATGAACAGTGATACTACTTCCGAATCCTCACATTTCGGAGGATGGGATAATAAAGGCATTCAAATAGAGCATTCCTATTAATTGAAACAATAGTGATTCAATAACTTCGACTTCTACTTCTCTGACACTTTTTGATGTGTGGAATTTTCAGGTTTGGAAATATGCAAAAAGACTAGGTTAGCTCACCCTCTTGCACCAATGTCTCCCTACTCCAAACGAAACAAGCTCCTGAAGCGTTTATGATACACTGAAAATATGTTCTTCGACAGTCAATTTTCCACGTGCATTAAGCTATCTACTTTCAGAAAAACTCGTGCGTCAATTCAATTGTTTCGGATCCAGTTAGGAGAAGTATAGAATTGGCACTGAATGAAAAATAATATTGCGACCATGGTTGTAGCATACCCAATATAGCGATCCTTCTAAACTCGCATTACGACTTCCGAAAAAAAGACCCAAATGCTTGCATCGCTACTTTTTGTTTTCACTACAAACTACAAGATATTTATCCAAGCACACATAAACCAGAACGTTTTCGGCTGAATTGAAAAGTATCATATCCAAAATATGTCAATAAAGATGCCATATTTCCAATACTTCATCTGCACCATCTCCTAAACTTCACCCGAGTTTTCAAAACTTCTAGATGACGAGCTGTTTCTTGTACAAAAAGTATTCTGCACCGGTATTCCTTTATCATCATAAATCTACCTAATTGAATGCTCAAAAACGCTACATGCCGAATGTGGCCTTATAACAGCAACAAATTGAGTTGCGGTAATGATAGAAATTACCGGTACACCGTATTTATGCGGATATTTAATGAATAAGTACTGAGGAATCACGATGCCAAGGACCGGGGCTTCACATGCTATAACACGACGATACACATCGGCTTTTAAAAGCTTGACTGAATTTTAGGCATACCCCCAAGCCAGCTGCCTCGCCAGCCTTTCTGCGGCGGGATAGCTCTTCTAGAACGAACTTGGTGCGCTGATTCCGAGCCTCCTCCTCAAAGTCCCGTCCCTCCTTGGCTACGAAACGTCCTTCGTCGACGTCGTAGACTTCCCAACCTTTGCCTTTCCGTCGAGGACCAATTCTGTACAGATCGGTGTCCAGCTCCTCATTTTCATCCACCGCTACGCCCTTAACTAAGCTCCCTAAGAGAAGAATTTGAAATATTTTTGAGTTTTGAGATCATTACTTAGGAAATGAGGGTATTAAAATTTAACTGTGTACAGGGAGTGCAATAACTGAACGCATCCCAAGAAACGTGAGCAGAGAGATGTGACCGAATGCCACAAGGGGCAAAAAAGCAGAAAGAGCCATTTTTGAAAAAAAGGCGAAGTTGAAATAGATAAGCTTCAAAAATAACTACCTGCTAAAGCCAGAGCACTACAGTCAAAAATGCATTTAATAAAAATATACAAGCTGCTAAAATAAATGGAGGTTTGAAGACGAACCATATATTACACGCCTATAACCAGCCAAAAGATGGGAGACCTTTGTGGGATTGGTACAAACATCGCAGCGGTTGACGCAGGAAGGTATATCATCACCAAAATACGCCGCGAATTGAGCGTGACGACACCTTAGTTGGACGGGAAGAAATACAACATAGATCAAGTAGAAATATATCACAAACTTTTCGCAAACCGCAAAAAACTCACTTTACACTCTCCACGTAGTTGATCATGAGTGCCAAGTCCTGTACGCCTTTCTCACGATGCTCCTTTTTCTTTTGTGTAAGAGCTCTCTACAAAAAAATCCAGTGAAATAACTCAGATGAATGAATAGACATGAATGGCCCAAATGAGAAGCACACCTCGGACATCTGACCAACTAGGAATGCCACCGTGTCACGCTCCTGCTTAGCATAGTATATCCGGCAATGGGAAGGAAGACCATCGCGTCCGGCTCTGCCAGACTCCTGGTAATAGGCGGCTAGACTCTTCGGTACTGTCCAGTGCACAACACACCTGTAAGAGGGATGGCGTAAAGAAATCGAAGTGACCTACCGGACATGAGCGTTATCCACTCCCATACCAAAACTGATAGTGGCCACCACAACTAAAAAGTCTCCTTTAAACCACTCCTCTTGAACCCTAGTCCGATCCTTGCTTCCCAGACCAGCATGGTAGGCGCGAGATGGTATGCCTCGGAGAGACAACTGATAGGCAACCGTTTCACAATCTTCCCGCGTTCGACAGTAAACAATACCACTCGAATTTTTCTTAAAACAAAAATACTAAAAATTTCAGTAATTACCACTGGGCTCTTGACTGGATCTTCACCAAAAAGACATTGACGAATGAATAAGGATAAGTCATCATAAGGCGTTTTTATCAAGTCACTGAACATTACATCGTAGTACAAATTTGAACGAAAAACGCCAGTAACAAATTCTCTGAATTTTGTTATTAGAAGGCAACTTTCCTCTTGTGATGCCTCAGGGTTCAATTTCAAGGTGGAAATAATGTCTGCCTTGACCCGTGAATTAGCCGTTGCAGTGAGAGCAATACAAGGCACCGTGGGAAACAGGGTAGATCTTAGATTTCCAAGTTTGAGGTAGGCAGGTCGGAAATCATGACCCCATTCGGAGACACAATGAGCTTCGTCGACGAAAAAATACTTAACGGAGTGTAACTCGATTAATTTATTTGCAAGGGATCGAAAGCCATCAGTCTCACATTGTTCAGGTGTGATGTACAGCAACTTAATTTTGGGTAGCGTCAATCGTCCTAAACACTCAGATGGACACAACAGCCTTTCCATAATATCTGCTCGCTCCTTCGCAGATTGTTTGGAATTAAGTGTTGCAGCAGGGATTTTTAATTCAGAGAGATGTGAAAGTTGATCATAAATGAGAGCAATTAGGGGAGAAATGATGATGGACAAGCCATCCTGGAGAACTGCTGGCAACTGGTAGCAAAGGCTCTTGCCGGAGCCGGTAGGCATGGAAATAAATGCATTGTGGGAACCTTCAACAATACAACGAATGGCATCCTCCTGCAATTTGCTTTTAAACTGATCATGATGAAAGGTATTGCGCAATGCACCAAGAACTCTGTCGGTATTGTCCATGCAAAACGATGACCACCTGCTTTAACTTTCCAAAGTTAATTAGCACAACCAGTCAACTCAATATTTGCGGCTTCAACTGTGACCTACTTATTCATGTAACCTAAGATTGCAAATTTTTTAGGCAACGTAGGAATAACAAAATAAAAACTTCACCCAAAAACAGTTGTTAATTTTTTTAGCGATTTATATAATTTTAAAGAGTTTTTAGCGCATATGAAGTGTGTCAAAGTCAAGATATTTGTGCATCTTGAAACTCTAGTTAAATACATTATAGTATAATAACTGCACTGTTTTCCCAAAGTTGCATAAGTAAATTACGCTCCGTTTATTCCGCTTCGTAGAATCCGCTAAATTGATAGCCATTTTACTTAATTACCCACGAAAAAATGCTACTGTAGCGTCTCGAGACTCCCAAGAGACGATGAAAGAAGGCAGAATACTCAAGCGGAATATATGTATTCGGCACAGAGAAGGTGTTTAGGCTATTGGCATGGTCCGAAGGCCAGCCCACCCAGCGAGGTACAGGAAGGCTAATTCAAAGTAAAAAAGTCGCGCCTCACCAATCTCGAGGGATAAACCACTCTTAGCGGAGACTGTAATATTCTTCTGGTAGATGTCTTAGCCCGTTTAAGTTTTTGACTGGATTTATACTAATTCTTAAACTGTGGCGCCCCCTTAAGTCTACTGAAGTGGTAAGAAGTCAGAGTGATATGCCACATAATGTATTATGGACATAAAAAATGAGCTGAGACCGCTGGCCTTGTCCAGAGGCCATGCTGTTATGCAAAAGAACAATTTGAAGAGGCCTAATTTCCCACGTAACCAAACATTGATTAAACAAACTATCAAAGTAATGCATATCCAATGGAGAAACTTTATGTACTTGAAATCTGCACAATTGCTACTTATGTGTCAGTAGATGTATTGTGCCTCTTAGCTTTATCTTTAGACCCAGTACGACTTAAAAATATCCTTTTTAATAGGCTACGACTGGGGACATTCCCTTGAATAAAAATCCCGTGAATATTCCCAATACTATGTACATTAACTTGATGTGGGCACTTTGCGGTAGTGTAGAGCCGTAATGCTTCTTTTTCAGCGAAAGAAGACATAACGCTGGTGCAGAAAATGTAATATTCATGAGCAGATTGGCTGGAGGGTTACTGGTATGGTCTGGAGATCATGCCGTCGAAGGAGTTACTTAGGCGGAGCCTTTAGTACCCACGTGACCACAACAAAGAGGTAAACAAAGTGTTACAGTAGTACGTCACGTGATTCGTTTTAAAGCAGGCGTTTCAAGCTTATGCATACAAAGTTATGAGAGCGTGAAATCGAACTCTGAAAAGATGATTCACCACAGAAAATACATTATCATATGATCACGATGACTCTCTATTTTGGAGAACTATTTTTAATATTTTAACTGTAATATATGCAAGCCTAAGTTGCTGATGGCTCTCCCGTTGTGTGCGATATTTAGCTATGCTGGAGTCAGGATTGTACCTCATTTAGATCGAACCCACTTACTGACGCCACCAGCGCAGCTTCTGAGACTTCTCGGCGGGTAGCGTAAAAGCGTGAGCCTGGTTAGACATTTGCTATGGATATACAGGATTGGTGGGCTGCTAGCAGCAATGGGATGAGCAGAACGCCGTGAAATTAAGGTAGCTATCAAAATTTGCGTAGGCTGAATGCATATGCATTTGAAACCACTATCACTGTTGCAAACTAATCAAGCGGTTCCCAAAGCATGCCATTTGTTCGCATTGCAAGTTGTACATACTTATATCAATGACTCTAATTGACACAGAAAACACAAACTGGTGGAGTTGTGGAAGAAAAAATTAATGACAATGCCACCTTACACATCACTCTTTAACCACTGGATAATCCTTGCTTAGCACTCGTACTTTTACTGAAATCAATCGTCCCCACAAATGAGCCCTTATTTTATTTCACTTGAATCTGTATACAGTCAAGTAAGCTAAAAAAATATATTCGAATGCATCTTCTATGCAAGTGTTCCGTTTGCTGCGATCCCAAAATCTCTCAGGAGTCCTTTGCCAAGAATGAGTGAACAACCCCAGTTCCACTATACACGCAAAAGTGGGAGTATTACAGAAGAATCAATTAAAACTGTTAATCATATTGCAATAGCACTTTTGGCTTCCCAGACTTTAATGCTTATGGAAAAATAGCATCGAACTACTTTGTGATAAGGGGAATGCCTAGGTTACCATGTCCAACTTTTTGAAACAAATACTCCACTGCTACCTAAAAAATCGTTAAGGCCCTCAAACAGTACGGTAAAAGATGCAGGAGTATGGCTAGCGTTGAAATTCGCTGTTCTTGCCAGTGCATCCAGAAGCACAGGTGATTCCACTGTCGTCCCCATTCCGCCTACTTTCACATTGATTTCCGTTATCGATTATCTGTGTGTCTCTTAATGATTTGCCTTAACGTGCACGTGAGGGTTGACCTTAGAAGTCCTAGGCACTCTACCAGTGGGTTTTATCGATTTCTCCGTCTCCTGTTGAATTGACCTGAGGTGAATATCCTTATGACAGAGAGAATGTACTTTTTTTTTCAATCCAAGTAGAACCCAATCAGGCCGAGACAAATTTATTTATTATTTCTATGCTTATCACTTAATCTAGCATCTCGAGTGTTTTTTGAAGTAGAATGAAGTCACAATACTAGGGTAGAAAAAGTATTTTCGACGTATGGAAGAGCTAAGGGGCTGCTCTCATGGCGCGGAGGCCATGCCGCCCAGCGGAAGTATAATAGCAGAGCGTTAAGTGCCTGTGTAACCAAAAAGGTTGGGTTAAACAAATGATCAAGTTATTACATAACCCCTCTTCTGATTTAGCGTCATCACCGGCCATCCCCTTGGTCAGTCCCCAGCGTCAGCCAGCACAAGGTGGTGGGTGCTGTAAAAGAAACACCCACAAACCGATCACTACAGTCATCGAATTTGCGTTTGACTAAGACGATATTTGACAGCAACGTCGTTGAGACCCCTTGGCGATTCCAATGGATCTGTAGTTAAGTCTTGTTTAAGAGTTGTATTGGGGATGGGAAATGTGTGGGGCATCACGTATTTCCATCGCTGGTCATAAGAATACTGGCCTAAAAACAATTTCCTGAGGATAAGGTTTCGCTTCTATTCATTCTTGTCACCTAATTCTCGCTTCGGTACTGCATAGTTATGCGTCTATCTGGGCTCTATCAAGTTGGTAGAGAAGTGGAGGGAGTATCTCGTGTTCACTTGATTAACATCTCCATACAGGTGGCGTTTGCAGCTCCATAAAGAACTTTTCCAGACGGTTCAAGGCCAAGACCATCGTAACTCTAGTTGTTAATCGCATTCCTACAGACGTCATTTTCATGCCTTCTGTTAGAGGTCGTCACTGATGCTCCCATCCACAGCACATCCATTACGTCAAGGTTTAGCGTTAAGTAATGGATATGAGGATAGTTGTCCTGTAAGATGGGGTCTACTTTCTGCTGTCACGAATGCACCGTCACAAGTCATTCCTAATGATAAAAGGAGTAATTAAACTAGGGCTAGGGCTACTGGCCTGGCCCAGAGGCCGTGCGGAGCCTTAAGCTTCTAAACTGAAACGAAGAATTAAACAAAAAATCAGAGGAGTACATTTTAGCTAAACAGTTGTAACAGGTTTTGGTTTGAAATTACTTGTAAAATGACATGCGACCAGATTACACCAACCTCGTGGCCGAGGTGGTTTCACTGATTTCCGAAGAGGAGACAAATGCTGGTACTCTAAAAGACCTTATTGATGTCTCGAAATACGCATTGTCTGCATGACATTCTCATGCACATCTGCACATCTCCGGTTGCAGACCTTTGGACCGGGAAGACTGGAAAGAGGAGAGTATCTCATATTGTGCAATATGGAGGGTTTTACAAAGTATTACGATGGGAAATTTCAGTTACATTTAAATTTGCACTGTTAGGTTATTTAAAGTCGCCAGTCAAATAAGTTTTGTAGAATCAAATGCTGTGACTTTTGGACAGAAATTGACATCCTTTGCTTCACCCTTTTTTGGCTTAAAATACAGACTCATCCAGTGCGTCAAGTTTACTTTTACTTGGAAAGGTTTGCCTTATTTTAAAGTTACGACAGAAGGCGTCCACGTAAGGCTCTCACCCTCAGAGTCATGTTCCAAAAGGATTCTTTGCGGAAATAGTTGACTTTTTGGATTAAGCAAAACAAATATGATAAAACCACTTGCAGCACCTTTCCTCTCGATTGCTGTTTAGAATGGAGAGACCTCCTTATTTGTTCCTGTGCCATTTAAATGCACCCACGCAAAATGACAAGCTTACTGAGCTTGCGTTGCAATCAGATTTATGTGGTGACAAGACGAAAGGATGATGCGAAGACCCTGAGTGAAAATTTACTACGCCGGTGTTTTAGTAGACTGAGCAAAGTCACTTTTAGAAAGCCTGTCATTTGCCGCTTCAGCCGGTAATGCTGGCACTATTCACTTACATTAGATACGGCTTTTTCGTGATGAAGCTAAAATGTTTCATTTCAGATCAGTAACTTAGAGAGGGTTTTCCATCAAACAATTCTCAAGTGGAAGCATTTAAGCTGACTTTAAGCCAAGATCGGAGCTTACCGTAAAAGTTAACACCTCAAAATATTCACCTAGTTAAATTTCCCCAGCAGTTAGGCGTAGATGAGAAAAAGGCGGCCTTAAAGACCATTTGCAAGCAAAAACATGGAACATTTTAAATGCTGTTGCCTTATTTGAACACACTTCCCAAACGTCATGACACGAATGAGATGATCAGCCGGAGTTGGTCCGATAGTTAAACACTATGGAAAGGGGAGGGTATCTGCCAGCAATCCTCAGATGTGCACAAACCTTTTTTTTAACTAAAATCCACTTATCATTAGCTAAATGGAACCCTACAAATGTCAGCAATGTTGATAATTATTTCTGCTGAATCTACCTTTCTTAGGCGTCTCTCGATCCGACCCTCCAAGTCGACTAATCTTCTCGTCCTGGGAACACCGAAAAGCAAGATCATCGTATCCTTATTGAGCATTTTAAGTAAAAAACAACCGAAATTTACTGCACAATGATCAAACTGCACGCTACATAGAAAGGTAACAGCGTCTCTGTGGCGAACACACCAGATGCAAACGAGGTACATCAATGGGGGCCACAAAAATCGATAAGGGAATCGACAAGATGATCGATACTGAAGTAGCCTCGCCTCCAGTACCGGTATAAAAGTACGGAGCGGTCTCCACCGCTAGCAGCATAAGAGGTAAGATGTACTGGGAAAAGGCTATGTTTAGGCAGAACTGTACAGTTTGACACAACCTCCGTAGAATTGAATGGGGACGTCCAAATGAAGAGTTAAATGAAAAGGACCACCACGAGTAATCCGATTAATTCTAAACGATGAAAGGTGAATATACCGATGAAGATGATGTCCTAGAGTTTCTTGAAGCCTTGTGCAAGCTTGGCAGCCCACCGCTAGGTCACTGTATGTGTGTGTGTGTGTGGAATACCTCATTTCCTCAAACCACTAAGTCTGAGCAGTCCGGCCTCATGTTCACTTTCTGGACTGTGTCCTTGGGAAAAATCCCATGCGATGATAAACCCACCTCATTCAAAAAATTCCTGGGAAAAGCCTTATGTCACGAGAGACCAGGGCTAGACTACTGAAAAATCACTAAGACCTAGGAGTATTTCTCAGAGCCGCGCAGAGCGTGCAAACGAAGACGGGGAAGAGTAGTTGACTTGCCTGTGGTCCGCGTTCAATCACCAGAAAGTAAATTGGCACCCTTTTTACCCCCTGATGCTCAAGATCATCACACTTGCCTGATTTTTCCATAGGTCAATATTTTTAAGCAAGTGAAACTCAGGAATCTGAATAACCTAGGTCTCCGACACGAAAACGTTTAACAAAGTCCTCAAGATTGGTCTCCCCCTTTCCGAAAATCGGCGAAACTTAGTCATACGAAAGACGCTTTACTTCGTTAAAATGAACAGAGGCATGTACAGGATATGCGAATTTAGCGATAAGTCTGGGTCAGTAGGTGGATTTGAGTTTAAATGGACTGAACTCTGTTGGTCCTGATATCACTCAGAGCCTCCGTCCAGGCAAGATCGTCAAGACGGGAAATGGGTACGGGTCGCCTTGTCCGCGAATCACCCGACAATCGTCGATGGGGTGCCACGAGTCGATTCGTTATCCGAGATATCTCCCTCTGGACTACACTCACGGAAAAAAAGCACTTTTTTTCCAATGTCCAGCTTATTTCAAGGGTGAAATTTTCCATTGACCTAAGCATAACGACTGATCCTTTGGTAGTTGTAAAGATGAACCTTCCCAATATTTTAAGCACACATCCTAATATGTGGTCATCTTTCGTATATTCTTTGGGATAAATTTAGGGTATTCATGGAGGAATGGATGAAAAAATTACTCTTATGTTTAGATATCTGTCCCGTTTTAGAATCAACGCCGTAGCGTAAATAGCTTCAAGCGTCAACGAAGGTTGACTACTGAATAGGCAGACTAGTAAGTACACATTACATGGGTAAACCATTTGAGAAGTCGAGATTACATAACTTGTGTCAGCAGCATTGCATCAGTAGAGTAAACGATAGTCTCTAAAGCAAGAAAAGTGTTGGAACTTAACCATGTTTTCCTACCAAAAGTTTAAAGCTGCTTACGTACGCGATAGTGATCAAAAAGACCCTTTCATACGACAGTATCAAAGTAAAGTATCGAAGCTGCCTTAACATCAAAACAGAGGCCCCAAGAAGAGAATACTTACCTTCGTCATCCGAAATGCCACTCTTGACAAGCCTCCGAGTCAACTCTCGCGCAACATCCTTGAATGTAGCCTGGAGAAAACGGAGAAGGCGGTGGATCTCACAATTTGTGTAGCCGAACCAACACCAAAGTGCTGCTTTACGAAATGACTGAGCATATGAAATATGACACGGAGTCTTACATTTCTAGCTCGTTTAAACAATAACACCTTTTTAAACAATTTTGACAATGAGATGACACTTGACTTATTCAGTTCACTGCATGCTGCTGGCCACGACAACGATCGGATTCGAATTTCACAGATATTTCTGGTTAAAAAATTACAATTTAAAACGGAAAGGAAAGTCTAGAGTATGGGAGTACAGATGCTGGAAGGTTAAATGAAAGTCAAAATTGGACACGAAAGCACGGGGGAGATAGAAGTGCGAATAGAGGACATAAATTTGGTAACCCAAGAAAAAACACATATCCCAATCACAGGCATAGCTTTGAGTATTTGGGCATCAAAGGGCATTTTGACAGTAAATTCCTTGATAAAAGCATCTTTATGAACAAAAAACCACGGTAAACAGAAGTGAGCAAAAGACCACCCGAATGAATGGCAATGAGCAAGCACTTCGTAGATTCGTTATACTGCATAAACAACGCAATATTCTAACTCATCTACACTTCAAAGAGGGGTCACAGTAGGTTCGTCACCGGAGTCTAAGACACAAACTGACCTTTACAGTCCACGTTTTAGTGTCATAATATGACAACATTTGAGCTATTGAATTAACCGATACAACAATTGCTTAGAAACAAAGAAAAGGTGGAACTATTCTAAGATCAAGGACATCATACGTCACTGTTTTGTTTCACCACATTCAATTATCACAAATTGATTAAGAACAGACGACATATATTCATCAAGTAAGAAAATTTGGGCGTCACATGTCCGACGCTGTGTTGAAGGAAAACTAGACAGACCAAATGAAAGTCAGGACTGAAAATGAGATTAAAGGTACCATAAGAGGTCAGGTGTGAAACAAAACGAAGACCAGCTGAGCGTTTTTTCAAGAATACATGAGTTACATACCTTGTCCTTGAAGGCACCCAGAGAGTAGTAGCGAGAGAGCGAACGGACCACAACATTGGCGATGAAACTGGTCTTCATCCGTGTTTCCTCGGACTTGTAAAAGCGTGGAATAGGGGTCGGTGGGATGTAAAAAGGAGGAAATAAGGTTGTTAGCTGAAAATGCTCACGTATTCCCTGCCTTCTAACCGATGCGATGTTGTCCTACTCTCATGTCGTCGATTGCAAGAGAAAACATGGTTTGAGCTCTCGGCTATGCAAGAGCCCTGGCAGAACAAACGGAAAGAATAAGTAGGGAAGAGCAAAATCCGCCTATACTTTCCGTATTTAGGATGACAGTGTGATTTAGTAAGTAAATACAGCACACAGCACCTAGTCCTAAAATCTTGGCAAAAAGAAAGAAAATGGACAACTTCCTTTCAATTGCAGAATGTTCTGGATAAATTGCTTTATGAAACGTATATTCAAAATTCAAATTTTCTCCTCTCGCGTTTGATCTATTCAGTCAGAGAAAGTTTCTGTGATATCAATAAGACAGGGCTGAGCAACGAGCACAAAGTGAGCTTAAGTATGTTGAAACTGATCTCCATTACCATGACAGAGCGCAAATTTTCACTTCAAGCACTTGAGTTGATCGGGTATGGTACCAACAACTTTGTTTATGCCTTATTGCATCAGAAGGCGTTACTATTTTCGAGCGGTCACACGAGCACCACTACAATAGACCTCGTCAATCAGCGTGTCTACTCTTCAACCTTTGCAACAAAATCGGAGGTTGTAGTGAAATGAAGTACAAATGAAATGAAATGGCATGTGAACGTGAAGTTTTCGATAAATTAGATTGGAAAAAAGCAATTGTGGAAAAAAAACAAACTTCCTACCCTGTAATCGTACGGTGAGAAATCAGTAAAAGCCGGAGGCACCGGCTCAACCACTGGCGTGCCAGTCTTCGTCATAAGTCCAAGAGGTGGAGGCACCTAAAAGCCATTTGGAAATATCTAGTTTGAAACAATGAACTCAGAATCCGGTAAGTAAAGTTGTTTTACGGATTTTAAGAGCCACTTCAAATGCGTGTCTGTGAGACTGTGTTGGCAGGAGTGAAGAAAATTGCGTAAAACGCGCCATAACTGGCTTCCAAATTGAAATGGCACAAAACTTCTTTAGGATGACAAGCCACTCAAAAAATGCATAAATTAAATTTAAAAAGACCACAATTAGATTTGTGAGGCTCCTTGAACTACAATTTATTGAAATTTTTAGAGCATTCGTAGCGGCACTGCCGTTATCTGGAAGCAACACTTTTTTTCCTTATTTTAATCACCAGTGCCACACACGAGTGATACCCTGATTCCATTAGCCGAGCCCTCACGCCGTAAATATGTGAAAAGAAAGATAACTACACGGAAAAAAAAATTGGAGTAAAACCAGCTGGCCTCACACCAGAACAGTAAAGCACCTGGGCTATGATGGACAGTTGTTTCCCAGATGCTGGCAACGAATACGTTGAAATTAAAGTGCTTCAGCTTTTCCGACAGTATTAATTGGTCTAACTGCAGTATGGGCTGGTGTAGGAATGACAACTCACGTTTTGTGATGATGCCGACAGTGGCGGTGGCTGTGATGACTGCGACGGAAGTGGAGCAGGGTCCTGGAGGAGAAAGTAAGTTTTGGAGGGCCCCTCCTTTTTAATCACTTTCACTACCGATACGTCGTCATCCGGATCCTCCATTTGTGGTCTTTTCTGGGCACTCGGAGTAGGTTTTGATTTCTCCCAGAAGTAGGTCATTGTCGATTCCCCGGAAGACTGTGGAGACGATGCGAAGTGGATATCAGTAGGCAAGCTTCAACAAAGTGGTTGAATACCGTCAAAAAGTTACCCTCAAAATAGTAGGCAAATTCTCCTCATTCGGTTTGTCGCTTGAGTCCCCAATAAGGGACTTTTTGAGGGAGGGCGGAAGGCAAGTGGATTCCAGAATGTCCTGAGTGTTGACACCAATGCTCAAAGACTGAGGCTTGGGAAGAAAGGAACCGGGGTGCGGACTAGCCGACTTTGCTTCAATGGGCAGCAGCAACGGTGCAGGCGGCGAAGAGAGGAGTGGTGGGGGCGGTGACGGTCTAACGTCGACCTCTTCAGGTTTTAGCGTCAAGGTTTCGGAGAAACTACTGGGGGTGTTGGAGTTAACGGGATGAAGAGAGGTCACAGGAACATTCAACCATTCCGCAAATGCGTCGTAGACAGCAGATAGAGAGGCGGCTTTACGGGCCTGACTGATCCTACGCGCCATATGTCCGCGGTAGACGCCAGCCACCTACAGTATTCGAAACTGTAACTTCTGCTACTGCCAAACATTAAGTAGGATGCAATTGCGGGATCGCATTAACCTTCGAGGTTTTGAAAATTTGATGCTCTAGTTGGGCGGCTAGTTTGCTGAGATGCGACTTCTCCGGATCCACATCGGAGCCTGTATCACTGGTGCTGGTCAGGTGACCACACACAGCGGTAATGAGGAGTTGGAGAGTCTGATCTCGAGTCTTTCCTGTCAAACCGTTGATCAGTTTGCTCTCAGGATCGATAAGCAGGGAGTCCTCAGCAGCGGAAATCCATGGAACCTGAGGTGAAAGGAGAAAACTAAAAACGAGGCAATAAGAGTTGACTAGAGCAACAAGAGGAATCCATACCACGAGCCAAGGAGTTTAATCGGCAATGTCAAAGGTAAAAATGAATTACGAAAACGACTAGGCATTGGAAGGAATTAAGCGTCGAACGTGATGAAGAACAAAGTTGTATAAGGCTGAGTAACAAATATATTGTAAGCGTTAAGTATGTGACACCCTGAATTGGTGATCTAACAAGTACTCCTTATTGGTTTATTGTAACCGTAGTTATACCAAATCGTGTCGCAAACGGATTGGTTGAGCTTAAAAGATCAAGTAGGCGCAGAATGTTTTCAGTGTAAGGACACCTAAATTTGCTGGCGAGTGACTAGCAGTTGAGTGTCAACAAAAGTCGGCAACTGATATCACACTAGGGCAATCAAATATACGAGGCGTGCCTTCAAATACTGCGAATAGAAAATGTCAGTGGAATAGAATTGTGGAAAAAACGGCCTATGCGTTCTGCTTGTCGGTATTAAAGTCGTCAAGATCCTTGGGCCATACCTACATTGCTATACACCTCAAAATTAGGCAGGCTTGAATCCCACCTAAGCAGCAAGCAGTTGTGAAGTGTCTCATGCTGCATGTACTGTTAAAAATATCATGTGTACTTTAAATGTCGCTGTGCTTGCTCACCCCAAAAAAACTACTATTGAGGCAATGGAATTAGGGGATTAAGGTCTGCCTTGAACAGTGCTCACAGCGGTCTGCGGAAAAAAATTTGGTGACAAGTTGGTTTGATAGCAGGGCTTGGTGTCTCGCGTAGACGAAGGAGTTCCCTGAGAGGCTAATGAGTCCTGAGGACAGCCGAAATAAGTGCGAACGAATACATGATGACCCAGCATAGTGGGGAATGAAATTCGTGTATAAGCACAAGTCAAAACTTGGTAACCCCATTCAGGCCTCATAGTCCCACCAAATTTCCAGGTAGAGAAAGGTCTGAAAATTAAATAACTACGACACGGAAATCCAGAGACGACCAATCGATGTGTTGGATACCAGTTTCTACACAAAGTACTTTGTCAGGAGCCTAGAGAAGCACCTAAGTCGTAAAAAGCCACCGTTGCCAGTGTAATAAACATGTTGTTGAAGTTACCGAAAATGTACCTGTATAAACGATACAACGACATCCCACTTGAAGTGATCTCAACTGATAATCACAAAGAGGCTGACAACGCTGACAATAAGTGACTATAGTCTAATGAACAGTGATACTACTTCCGAATCCTCACATTTCGGAGGATGGGATAATAAAGGCATTCAAATAGAGCATTCCTATTAATTGAAACAATAGTGATTCAATAACTTCGACTTCTACTTCTCTGACACTTTTTGATGTGTGGAATTTTCAGGTTTGGAAATATGCAAAAAGACTAGGTTAGCTCACCCTCTTGCACCAATGTCTCCCTACTCCAAACGAAACAAGCTCCTGAAGCGTTTATGATACACTGAAAATATGTTCTTCGACAGTCAATTTTCCACGTGCATTAAGCTATCTACTTTCAGAAAAACTCGTGCGTCAATTCAATTGTTTCGGATCCAGTTAGGAGAAGTATAGAATTGGCACTGAATGAAAAATAATATTGCGACCATGGTTGTAGCATACCCAATATAGCGATCCTTCTAAACTCGCATTACGACTTCCGAAAAAAAGACCCAAATGCTTGCATCGCTACTTTTTGTTTTCACTACAAACTACAAGATATTTATCCAAGCACACATAAACCAGAACGTTTTCGGCTGAATTGAAAAGTATCATATCCAAAATATGTCAATAAAGATGCCATATTTCCAATACTTCATCTGCACCATCTCCTAAACTTCACCCGAGTTTTCAAAACTTCTAGATGACGAGCTGTTTCTTGTACAAAAAGTATTCTGCACCGGTATTCCTTTATCATCATAAATCTACCTAATTGAATGCTCAAAAACGCTACATGCCGAATGTGGCCTTATAACAGCAACAAATTGAGTTGCGGTAATGATAGAAATTACCGGTACACCGTATTTATGCGGATATTTAATGAATAAGTACTGAGGAATCACGATGCCAAGGACCGGGGCTTCACATGCTATAACACGACGATACACATCGGCTTTTAAAAGCTTGACTGAATTTTAGGCATACCCCCAAGCCAGCTGCCTCGCCAGCCTTTCTGCGGCGGGATAGCTCTTCTAGAACGAACTTGGTGCGCTGATTCCGAGCCTCCTCCTCAAAGTCCCGTCCCTCCTTGGCTACGAAACGTCCTTCGTCGACGTCGTAGACTTCCCAACCTTTGCCTTTCCGTCGAGGACCAATTCTGTACAGATCGGTGTCCAGCTCCTCATTTTCATCCACCGCTACGCCCTTAACTAAGCTCCCTAAGAGAAGAATTTGAAATATTTTTGAGTTTTGAGATCATTACTTAGGAAATGAGGGTATTAAAATTTAACTGTGTACAGGGAGTGCAATAACTGAACGCATCCCAAGAAACGTGAGCAGAGAGATGTGACCGAATGCCACAAGGGGCAAAAAAGCAGAAAGAGCCATTTTTGAAAAAAAGGCGAAGTTGAAATAGATAAGCTTCAAAAATAACTACCTGCTAAAGCCAGAGCACTACAGTCAAAAATGCATTTAATAAAAATATACAAGCTGCTAAAATAAATGGAGGTTTGAAGACGAACCATATATTACACGCCTATAACCAGCCAAAAGATGGGAGACCTTTGTGGGATTGGTACAAACATCGCAGCGGTTGACGCAGGAAGGTATATCATCACCAAAATACGCCGCGAATTGAGCGTGACGACACCTTAGTTGGACGGGAAGAAATACAACATAGATCAAGTAGAAATATATCACAAACTTTTCGCAAACCGCAAAAAACTCACTTTACACTCTCCACGTAGTTGATCATGAGTGCCAAGTCCTGTACGCCTTTCTCACGATGCTCCTTTTTCTTTTGTGTAAGAGCTCTCTACAAAAAAATCCAGTGAAATAACTCAGATGAATGAATAGACATGAATGGCCCAAATGAGAAGCACACCTCGGACATCTGACCAACTAGGAATGCCACCGTGTCACGCTCCTGCTTAGCATAGTATATCCGGCAATGGGAAGGAAGACCATCGCGTCCGGCTCTGCCAGACTCCTGGTAATAGGCGGCTAGACTCTTCGGTACTGTCCAGTGCACAACACACCTGTAAGAGGGATGGCGTAAAGAAATCGAAGTGACCTACCGGACATGAGCGTTATCCACTCCCATACCAAAACTGATAGTGGCCACCACAACTAAAAAGTCTCCTTTAAACCACTCCTCTTGAACCCTAGTCCGATCCTTGCTTCCCAGACCAGCATGGTAGGCGCGAGATGGTATGCCTCGGAGAGACAACTGATAGGCAACCGTTTCACAATCTTCCCGCGTTCGACAGTAAACAATACCACTCGAATTTTTCTTAAAACAAAAATACTAAAAATTTCAGTAATTACCACTGGGCTCTTGACTGGATCTTCACCAAAAAGACATTGACGAATGAATAAGGATAAGTCATCATAAGGCGTTTTTATCAAGTCACTGAACATTACATCGTAGTACAAATTTGAACGAAAAACGCCAGTAACAAATTCTCTGAATTTTGTTATTAGAAGGCAACTTTCCTCTTGTGATGCCTCAGGGTTCAATTTCAAGGTGGAAATAATGTCTGCCTTGACCCGTGAATTAGCCGTTGCAGTGAGAGCAATACAAGGCACCGTGGGAAACAGGGTAGATCTTAGATTTCCAAGTTTGAGGTAGGCAGGTCGGAAATCATGACCCCATTCGGAGACACAATGAGCTTCGTCGACGAAAAAATACTTAACGGAGTGTAACTCGATTAATTTATTTGCAAGGGATCGAAAGCCATCAGTCTCACATTGTTCAGGTGTGATGTACAGCAACTTAATTTTGGGTAGCGTCAATCGTCCTAAACACTCAGATGGACACAACAGCCTTTCCATAATATCTGCTCGCTCCTTCGCAGATTGTTTGGAATTAAGTGTTGCAGCAGGGATTTTTAATTCAGAGAGATGTGAAAGTTGATCATAAATGAGAGCAATTAGGGGAGAAATGATGATGGACAAGCCATCCTGGAGAACTGCTGGCAACTGGTAGCAAAGGCTCTTGCCGGAGCCGGTAGGCATGGAAATAAATGCATTGTGGGAACCTTCAACAATACAACGAATGGCATCCTCCTGCAATTTGCTTTTAAACTGATCATGATGAAAGGTATTGCGCAATGCACCAAGAACTCTGTCGGTATTGTCCATGCAAAACGATGACCACCTGCTTTAACTTTCCAAAGTTAATTAGCACAACCAGTCAACTCAATATTTGCGGCTTCAACTGTGACCTACTTATTCATGTAACCTAAGATTGCAAATTTTTTAGGCAACGTAGGAATAACAAAATAAAAACTTCACCCAAAAACAGTTGTTAATTTTTTTAGCGATTTATATAATTTTAAAGAGTTTTTAGCGCATATGAAGTGTGTCAAAGTCAAGATATTTGTGCATCTTGAAACTCTAGTTAAATACATTATAGTATAATAACTGCACTGTTTTCCCAAAGTTGCATAAGTAAATTACGCTCCGTTTATTCCGCTTCGTAGAATCCGCTAAATTGATAGCCATTTTACTTAATTACCCACGAAAAAATGCTACTGTAGCGTCTCGAGACTCCCAAGAGACGATGAAAGAAGGCAGAATACTCAAGCGGAATATATGTATTCGGCACAGAGAAGGTGTTTAGGCTATTGGCATGGTCCGAAGGCCAGCCCACCCAGCGAGGTACAGGAAGGCTAATTCAAAGTAAAAAAGTCGCGCCTCACCAATCTCGAGGGATAAACCACTCTTAGCGGAGACTGTAATATTCTTCTGGTAGATGTCTTAGCCCGTTTAAGTTTTTGACTGGATTTATACTAATTCTTAAACTGTGGCGCCCCCTTAAGTCTACTGAAGTGGTAAGAAGTCAGAGTGATATGCCACATAATGTATTATGGACATAAAAAATGAGCTGAGACCGCTGGCCTTGTCCAGAGGCCATGCTGTTATGCAAAAGAACAATTTGAAGAGGCCTAATTTCCCACGTAACCAAACATTGATTAAACAAACTATCAAAGTAATGCATATCCAATGGAGAAACTTTATGTACTTGAAATCTGCACAATTGCTACTTATGTGTCAGTAGATGTATTGTGCCTCTTAGCTTTATCTTTAGACCCAGTACGACTTAAAAATATCCTTTTTAATAGGCTACGACTGGGGACATTCCCTTGAATAAAAATCCCGTGAATATTCCCAATACTATGTACATTAACTTGATGTGGGCACTTTGCGGTAGTGTAGAGCCGTAATGCTTCTTTTTCAGCGAAAGAAGACATAACGCTGGTGCAGAAAATGTAATATTCATGAGCAGATTGGCTGGAGGGTTACTGGTATGGTCTGGAGATCATGCCGTCGAAGGAGTTACTTAGGCGGAGCCTTTAGTACCCACGTGACCACAACAAAGAGGTAAACAAAGTGTTACAGTAGTACGTCACGTGATTCGTTTTAAAGCAGGCGTTTCAAGCTTATGCATACAAAGTTATGAGAGCGTGAAATCGAACTCTGAAAAGATGATTCACCACAGAAAATACATTATCATATGATCACGATGACTCTCTATTTTGGAGAACTATTTTTAATATTTTAACTGTAATATATGCAAGCCTAAGTTGCTGATGGCTCTCCCGTTGTGTGCGATATTTAGCTATGCTGGAGTCAGGATTGTACCTCATTTAGATCGAACCCACTTACTGACGCCACCAGCGCAGCTTCTGAGACTTCTCGGCGGGTAGCGTAAAAGCGTGAGCCTGGTTAGACATTTGCTATGGATATACAGGATTGGTGGGCTGCTAGCAGCAATGGGATGAGCAGAACGCCGTGAAATTAAGGTAGCTATCAAAATTTGCGTAGGCTGAATGCATATGCATTTGAAACCACTATCACTGTTGCAAACTAATCAAGCGGTTCCCAAAGCATGCCATTTGTTCGCATTGCAAGTTGTACATACTTATATCAATGACTCTAATTGACACAGAAAACACAAACTGGTGGAGTTGTGGAAGAAAAAATTAATGACAATGCCACCTTACACATCACTCTTTAACCACTGGATAATCCTTGCTTAGCACTCGTACTTTTACTGAAATCAATCGTCCCCACAAATGAGCCCTTATTTTATTTCACTTGAATCTGTATACAGTCAAGTAAGCTAAAAAAATATATTCGAATGCATCTTCTATGCAAGTGTTCCGTTTGCTGCGATCCCAAAATCTCTCAGGAGTCCTTTGCCAAGAATGAGTGAACAACCCCAGTTCCACTATACACGCAAAAGTGGGAGTATTACAGAAGAATCAATTAAAACTGTTAATCATATTGCAATAGCACTTTTGGCTTCCCAGACTTTAATGCTTATGGAAAAATAGCATCGAACTACTTTGTGATAAGGGGAATGCCTAGGTTACCATGTCCAACTTTTTGAAACAAATACTCCACTGCTACCTAAAAAATCGTTAAGGCCCTCAAACAGTACGGTAAAAGATGCAGGAGTATGGCTAGCGTTGAAATTCGCTGTTCTTGCCAGTGCATCCAGAAGCACAGGTGATTCCACTGTCGTCCCCATTCCGCCTACTTTCACATTGATTTCCGTTATCGATTATCTGTGTGTCTCTTAATGATTTGCCTTAACGTGCACGTGAGGGTTGACCTTAGAAGTCCTAGGCACTCTACCAGTGGGTTTTATCGATTTCTCCGTCTCCTGTTGAATTGACCTGAGGTGAATATCCTTATGACAGAGAGAATGTACTTTTTTTTTCAATCCAAGTAGAACCCAATCAGGCCGAGACAAATTTATTTATTATTTCTATGCTTATCACTTAATCTAGCATCTCGAGTGTTTTTTGAAGTAGAATGAAGTCACAATACTAGGGTAGAAAAAGTATTTTCGACGTATGGAAGAGCTAAGGGGCTGCTCTCATGGCGCGGAGGCCATGCCGCCCAGCGGAAGTATAATAGCAGAGCGTTAAGTGCCTGTGTAACCAAAAAGGTTGGGTTAAACAAATGATCAAGTTATTACATAACCCCTCTTCTGATTTAGCGTCATCACCGGCCATCCCCTTGGTCAGTCCCCAGCGTCAGCCAGCACAAGGTGGTGGGTGCTGTAAAAGAAACACCCACAAACCGATCACTACAGTCATCGAATTTGCGTTTGACTAAGACGATATTTGACAGCAACGTCGTTGAGACCCCTTGGCGATTCCAATGGATCTGTAGTTAAGTCTTGTTTAAGAGTTGTATTGGGGATGGGAAATGTGTGGGGCATCACGTATTTCCATCGCTGGTCATAAGAATACTGGCCTAAAAACAATTTCCTGAGGATAAGGTTTCGCTTCTATTCATTCTTGTCACCTAATTCTCGCTTCGGTACTGCATAGTTATGCGTCTATCTGGGCTCTATCAAGTTGGTAGAGAAGTGGAGGGAGTATCTCGTGTTCACTTGATTAACATCTCCATACAGGTGGCGTTTGCAGCTCCATAAAGAACTTTTCCAGACGGTTCAAGGCCAAGACCATCGTAACTCTAGTTGTTAATCGCATTCCTACAGACGTCATTTTCATGCCTTCTGTTAGAGGTCGTCACTGATGCTCCCATCCACAGCACATCCATTACGTCAAGGTTTAGCGTTAAGTAATGGATATGAGGATAGTTGTCCTGTAAGATGGGGTCTACTTTCTGCTGTCACGAATGCACCGTCACAAGTCATTCCTAATGATAAAAGGAGTAATTAAACTAGGGCTAGGGCTACTGGCCTGGCCCAGAGGCCGTGCGGAGCCTTAAGCTTCTAAACTGAAACGAAGAATTAAACAAAAAATCAGAGGAGTACATTTTAGCTAAACAGTTGTAACAGGTTTTGGTTTGAAATTACTTGTAAAATGACATGCGACCAGATTACACCAACCTCGTGGCCGAGGTGGTTTCACTGATTTCCGAAGAGGAGACAAATGCTGGTACTCTAAAAGACCTTATTGATGTCTCGAAATACGCATTGTCTGCATGACATTCTCATGCACATCTGCACATCTCCGGTTGCAGACCTTTGGACCGGGAAGACTGGAAAGAGGAGAGTATCTCATATTGTGCAATATGGAGGGTTTTACAAAGTATTACGATGGGAAATTTCAGTTACATTTAAATTTGCACTGTTAGGTTATTTAAAGTCGCCAGTCAAATAAGTTTTGTAGAATCAAATGCTGTGACTTTTGGACAGAAATTGACATCCTTTGCTTCACCCTTTTTTGGCTTAAAATACAGACTCATCCAGTGCGTCAAGTTTACTTTTACTTGGAAAGGTTTGCCTTATTTTAAAGTTACGACAGAAGGCGTCCACGTAAGGCTCTCACCCTCAGAGTCATGTTCCAAAAGGATTCTTTGCGGAAATAGTTGACTTTTTGGATTAAGCAAAACAAATATGATAAAACCACTTGCAGCACCTTTCCTCTCGATTGCTGTTTAGAATGGAGAGACCTCCTTATTTGTTCCTGTGCCATTTAAATGCACCCACGCAAAATGACAAGCTTACTGAGCTTGCGTTGCAATCAGATTTATGTGGTGACAAGACGAAAGGATGATGCGAAGACCCTGAGTGAAAATTTACTACGCCGGTGTTTTAGTAGACTGAGCAAAGTCACTTTTAGAAAGCCTGTCATTTGCCGCTTCAGCCGGTAATGCTGGCACTATTCACTTACATTAGATACGGCTTTTTCGTGATGAAGCTAAAATGTTTCATTTCAGATCAGTAACTTAGAGAGGGTTTTCCATCAAACAATTCTCAAGTGGAAGCATTTAAGCTGACTTTAAGCCAAGATCGGAGCTTACCGTAAAAGTTAACACCTCAAAATATTCACCTAGTTAAATTTCCCCAGCAGTTAGGCGTAGATGAGAAAAAGGCGGCCTTAAAGACCATTTGCAAGCAAAAACATGGAACATTTTAAATGCTGTTGCCTTATTTGAACACACTTCCCAAACGTCATGACACGAATGAGATGATCAGCCGGAGTTGGTCCGATAGTTAAACGGGGACCTGCCCGGCCAGGCTGCGCAAGCATTAAACGGACACGTGTGGGGAAAAACACAAGCGAATTTAGCTTACATTAACGAATCTGGATGCCAATTATTGATGAGAGCACCACGAGAGGCGTCCCATC